ATATTTCGTGATACGCTAAAACGACACACCGAAGACCACACCGACGCTGAAACAAAAATTAAAGCATTGAAAACAACTTTTGTGCGACTTGTTGTTTCCTCTGTCTCCATCTCATTGCTTAAAGAACACCGTCCGGTTTTTGGCATTTTATCTTGCTCGTTCATTGCATCCGAAGGAATGCACATCTGCTGAATGGGATTTCTTTCTTGACCGGGCCATTGCTTCTGAGGCGGAGAAGAAGGAAGTTCATATGCCCACCTGGGTACTTCCTGACAGCCGAGACCTTTTTCGATCTTTTGTTGTACTCTTCCGTGAATTGCTACCCAAAATGAACCTTCAAGAGGCGGACGTATGGTTGCAGTGGATGCGCACAACGACGCCAGAAGCGGAATACCCGAGATTTCTTATGCAATTGACAAATTTTCAACGCCTTCTTATCGTGAAGACACTTCGTGGAGACCGTCTCATTGCGGCAGTAAACCGAGTTGCATGCGACCTTCTTTCTGTGAATTCATGGGGAGATAACAGGACACTTGCCTCCTTTGTTAAGCGTACGGAATCGAATACGCCTCTTCTGTTGATCACAACTGCGGGAGCCGACCCATCACAGGAGCTTCAAAGCCTTGCATACCATCAGGTTGGACGTGATCGGTTTCATCAAATTGCTATGGGTGGTGGTCAGACCGATGAAGCAATTCGACTGCTGCGTTTATGTGCCGAGACGGGTGATTGGTTGTTCCTTAAAAATCTGCACCTTGTGATCCCATGGGTGCCGGTGCTGCAGAAGGAGTTTAACCTGCTCACCCCGGACTCGAAATTTCGCTTATTCCTTACAAGTGAGTCACACGAGGAATTCCCTTCCATTCTTCTTTCCCAAAGTCTCAAAATTACATTTGAGCCTCCACCAGGCGTTCAGCAGAATCTTCTTCATACTTATAAAGAATGGGAGGGCACCGCCTTTGACTCAAAAGGAACACGACAAAAGGAAGTTCTTTTCATTGCCGCTGCTTTTCATGCCATTGTACAGGAGCGGCGCTCTTATGTTCCACAGGGATGGTCCATGATGTACGAAGTAACCTCCGCTGATCTCAATTCTGCTGCAGACATCGTTTTGCAGCAAACGAAGGCGGAAACCGACTGGAAGGCCATTCGAGGCATTTTAGAGAACGCCATCTACGGGGCTCGTATTGAAAGCGAATTTGACATGCGTATTCTTCAAAAGTATACCCAGCACTTTTTTGATCCTTCTGTTCTTTCGGATGCTAAACGACAGGCTAATCTTTTTGCCACTCTCCGTGTGCCTGGGACAGGGAAGCACGCGGACTATATCAAGGTTATTTCAGAACTTCCTGAGAGTGACGTTCCATCTCTTTTTTCACTACCGCCAAACGCAGATCGTGTTGTACAGCTTTTGAAGGTACGACAATTAACGGACAATCTTCAACATCTTAATGAGTCCAAAGCGGAGTCGTTCCTGTCTCGAGAGGAGTGGACCAGCCGTTTGACGCCTGTGCTTCAAGCTTGGGCGGAGTTGACACAACCTCATTCCAACCTTTTGACCCTTTCGGCAACAGAGTCACAGGAAGTTACGCCCATTATTGGATTTTTGACGGCTGAGATGATATCCTCACTGCGTCTCGTCTCACTGGTGGATGAATCGATTGGGGATTTACGTAGGGTGACTGAGGGCACGGCGTTGCTGAAGGAGGACCGTCGTGCCGAGGCTGCTGCAATGATTTCTGGTGAAGTGCCATCACACTGGGATGGTTACTTTCATGGTTCCCCGCGTATTTTGCCTTGGCTGCAATCACTTCTTCGTCGAGCCACAACAATTGTGGAGTGGCGTAGGATGGCGGTAAACCGGGAGCTACTGAAATCAGACCTCAGTATCTCCAGTTTCTTCCGACCTCAAACATTCCTACATGCACTTCGACAAGAAACGGCCCATTCTCTCCACGAACCACTTGTCTCCCTGAAGCTTGCCATATCCGTTTCTTCCCCACCTGAGGGGGCACCTCTTCCAGTCTGTTTGGAGGGACTTTTGCTGCAAGGGGCCTTCATTGATCAATCTGACATGATGCAACCAATCGAAACATCGGATGAACCTGCACTTTTCCCCATGCCGAAGGTTTATGTGGCATGGATGTCGAAGCCACCAGCAGCAAAGACCTCCGTTGCCGTCCCACTTTACACGAACACAACAAAGGAGAAATTCATTATGGACTTTTTGCTGCCATGTACCAGTGAAGTGGCTGTGAAGGCTTTCATTCTGGCGGGTGTTTCCATATTTCTTGAGCCGTAGCTCTTATTTGGATGTAAAAAGAAAAAAAAAGGAAAAAAATCAGGAACAAAAACAAAAAAGAAGGAGAGAAATGAGGAAAAGATGCGACCAAAAATACGCAATTTTTTTGCTTTTTTCCCGTTATTTTTATTTATGGGTTTGCCGATACCTTTTTATTCCTACTGCGGGGATGCGCATACGTCAACGACGGAAAGAAAAAAAAGCGCAAATTTATTTATTTATTTATTTTTTTTTTTTGAAGAGGGAAGGCGAGGAAGCTTGTGCTCTTTCAATTGTGCCCTTTTTTTTTTCTTTGGATGGGGAGACATTTTAATTTATTTTTATTTTATTTTTATTTTTTATTTTTTTCCGTCTTGTTTTTTTGTTGGTTTATGAGCGATGTACGGGAACAAAGGGCCTCCAAAGAAGTACAGCAACCCACGTGGTGTCACGGACCAATCAGGGGCCTCGCGTGTGTGTCAGAAGTGTGCGTCGACTGAGCATTGGACATTTGAGTGCCAAAACGCTGCTGATGCCACACGTAAGACGACGGCACGGCTGAGTCGGTCACAGATGTTGCGATGGGGTATCAAACGGCGGCGACAGGAGTTCGTACCGGAGCCCACGGAGAGAGAGGCTTACACTGCGCATGCGAAGGAGGTGGAGCGGATGCTGCTTACTGAGGCACGGAGGGACGTGCTGCAGAGGCAGCGCCTGGAAAAGTCGCGAGGCGTGAATGACGATAGTGACGACGATGGCTGCAGTCGCGGCGACGACACTTGGAACGACGTGAAGAGCAAAAAGAGTAAACAAAGTGCGATTTCGAAGGATGAGGCGTATATTAAAGAGGAGAAGAAGGACGACATGGAAATGTGAACAGAAAAATACGCAAGTAAATGAGAAGGAGAAAAGAAAGGAAAAGAACAACAACAAATAAAAAGGATTAATTTGAAGCACTTTTGTTTTCTTTTTTTATTCTTTTTTTGTGTGTGCATCTTATCTACTGTGACGAGGCCTCTCTGTTCTTTCCCGTGTTTATTGTGGCTTCACATTTTGTTTATGAATCTCCTCCTGGTGTCTCTCTTTTGTTGTTGTATATAAATGCATTCTTTTTTTTTTCCCTTTGTTTGTTTGTGTGTGTGTGTGTGCAAAAGAGAGAGGGAGAGATGATACGCCGCTCTCGTGCGCAAACAAAATGGTCGAGAAGGAAACGAATGACGTTGATTGGGCTGTTGTCGTGGATGATTTTGCTGTTGTTTGGCGAGTACAACATTATCCACCCACCTGCGCCGTGGCCTCAAAATGCGCTGCAGAGTGGCAGTTCCACCTCCGAGCCTTTAGCGTCTCCGCATTCTTTGCCACCATCTTCAATTCCACGAAAGCATGATGTAAACAAGGCGAGGGCATCTCCCCTTCTTTTTACTCCACCCGAGTTTGAAGAAGCCTTGCAGACGTACGAGAATAATTTGGGTATTGTGGAGGGGCTGATGGGGAATTTGGATCAGCCAACAACCGACTTCACGGATATTATCGAGTCGACAGGCCCTGGGGTGCCGTTGCCGTACGATTCCGGTCGTGTCGCGAACGCAAAAGAGTGGGAGGCGTGTGACCAACGGAACGCGGAGTTTACACCTGAACGCGATGTGTTGTGTCAGTCGTATCTTGCTGAGCTCAATAACATGCGTTATATCAAAGCCATGTCATCGCGTCTTCTTTATGGACGGACCATCAAGTTTCGCGTGCGGTATGCACACAGCGAGATTGAGGCCATTGTAAAGGTATCGCAGCGGAAATTTTACTTTGAGGCGACGAGTGAATATTTAGCCTTTTCCATCGACCGCGCCCTTAACTTATCGCGGGTGCCCACTTCTGCCTTTGTGCCACTGCCGCTAAATTACATGAAGGTTGCCACCGCATACTCTCCTTTCTTTTCACAGTGGATTAATCGGTTTATTTTTACGTATAATTATACGACACGCAACTTTTTTCCGTGCGGTTTTTCTGGAGTGTCACCCGACAATGAAATTCTTTGTGCTTACGTGACAATTCAGCTTTGGATGCATGATGTGCATTCGGCCCTTTCATCGTTTTTGTCACTACCGTATGAATATGATAGTGCGTTTGCAGCGAAATATTATAAGATTGGCGATAAACTTTGGCCGCCAAAGAGTTCGCGCCTTCGCGCCATTGGCGATCTTTTGGATCGCTTTATTTTTGACTTTTTGATTGGAAACACGGATCGTGGCATGAATGACCACAATAACTTTGTTTACGGTGGTTGCAGCTTCAAGACGACATGCCAACGGCCTCCCAAGGCAAAACGTATATCGGGTCTAGCAAAGTATGCCTTTCTCGATCACGGCAGCAGTTTTTACTCGCACCGGGAGCCGAAGGGTAACGCCTTCTTTGGCGAAGAGCATCTTATTCCCATTTGCCGCTTTCGTCGCTCCACCTATGAGTCTTTGCGCGTCTACAGAAAACGCAATTCGTCAGGCCCGCATCACCCGCTTACGACGCAAATTCGCCAAAGTCTTTCGCCTTACATATTCCGTGTGACGTCAATTTCCGTTTTTGAGAAAGTACAGGGGCGCTTGGAGAAAATATTGCGGATCGTGGAACGCTGCTTAGAGCAATACTCACCTTCTGAGGTATTTAGTCTTCCCGAATACTGGGAGTTGCGCATCCCTGAAGAGGAGGAGGATGAGGATGAGCGGGAAATGTCGGATTCGGTTAATTTGGAGTAAAATCTCTGACGCGTACTCCACTTGATTTAGAGAGAAGGGAGAAATAGGCGTTTGTTCATCTTCAGATTTTATACTAACGGATTCCATAAGTTACTGAGTCACAAGCCTTTGGTTTTGTTCCTGTTATTTATTTATTTAGTTTATTATTTTTACTTTACCGCCGCAGCAATCTCTGACCAAATTCAAATTTCACTTATCCCACATTTTTAATTGGGCCCGTTTGCGCTCTCGCACCCTTGGGCGAATAATTTCATCTGCCCCACTGTTGTTTACATTTAAATGCGATTTACGTGCAACGACTTTGATGCTTCGTTATTTGGGGCAGGAAGTAGGGAGCGGGTGCGCTACGAAAGTTAGGTTCCGCTCTTTACGGCGACCTTTCAGCTGCGCTCGGTGAGCGGACTGTGGTCTCACAAACCTACATGCACACACAGAGAGAGGGAGAAAGAGAGCGAAGGGGCATCGCAAACAAATTTATATCCGGCACGGCTAAAGAAATTTGAAAATAGTAGCCAAAATTAGATCATAGTTGTTGGTAGGAAAAAATGGATTTAATAGCATTGGAAGAGAAAGTCCGTCGGCTGGAAACGCTTGAAGTCAATGAGATGCGGCTGCTTTTGAATACGGTGATGGCCCTCTTTCTTTACGAAAGTAATGTTCCGAATGTGCCGCTTCCTGTCACTATTTGCGGCGACATCCATGGACAGTTTCCAGATCTTTTACATCTTCTAGCACTTGCAGGGGAAATTAGCACGACAAGCATGCACTATATTTTTTTGGGTGATCTCGTTGACCGTGGGTTCAACAGCGTGGAGGTGGTCACCTTCCTCTTCTTGATGAAGGTGAAGTACCCTGATAAGATCACCCTTATCCGCGGTAACCACGAGACGCGTCAGGTGTCAACAGCCTATGGATTTTACGATGAGTGCAACAGGAAGTTCAAAACGGCGGAAGTGTGGCGACATTGCACGGATGTCTTTGATTGCTTGCCTGTTGGGGCACTAGTTGAAGGGAGAGCTCTCTGCATTCACGGCGGTCTCTCGCCGGATGTAAACACGATTGACAACATCCATCTGCTGCAGCGAAAGCAAGAGATCCCAACCGAGGGAGCCTTTGCAGACCTTGTCTGGTCGGACCCTGGAAGCATAGAAGGCTGGGGCATTTCACAGCGCGGCGCGGGCCATTTATTTGGAGCGAATGTCACCCGGGAATTTTTATATCGTAACGGACTCAACCTTTTAGCGCGGGCACACCAACTTGTCCAGAAGGGATTTAAATATCATTTTGATGAGGAGTTTGTTTGCACCGTGTGGTCCGCGCCAAACTATTGCTACCGGTGCAACAATTTTGCGAGTGTCCTACGCGTGTATGAGGATGAATCGCGTGAGTTTGTTGTCTTTGAAAAAGTAGATCAGCAGTACGTGGAAGATTTCCCGGAAAAGTTGCAGCTTTCCTATTTCTTATAGTTAACTAACACACAAGCAAATAGGAACCGACCAACAAAAGGACGCGTTCTCATTTTGTCTCCACTGGAAAATAGCGTTGCTGCATTTTTATTTTTATTTGTTGCTGTTGTTTTTTAAAAAACTGATTTTCCGGCTCTTTTATTTTAATTATTATTTTCTTCTGCACGTAGATGCCACGATTCACATTAATGTCATCCGCGCTGCTGTTGGAAAGCGCAAAAGCGACGTCAATCCTCCTTGCATCTGAGGTGCGTCTCCCGCGGGAGGATGTGGGTGCGGCCTTTGAGTCCATTGGTGCTGCTGAGAAAGGCTACGAGGTGATGTACACGGTTACCGTCGTTGACAACCGCGACTGGCGTCGGATTTTTCTTTGCCGCAACGCAACTGAAGCGACAAAAGTTCGGGATTCTTTTGACGAGGCCCAATTTGACGTCTACGCGCTGCGGAAGTACAACGACGCAAGGAAGTTTGAGCCGCGGCGGTCTGTCCCCCTGTTGGTGCCCTCATCTGCTGTCATGCAGCGCGAGTACCGTGTGGTGACGCGAGAAGAGGCGGCATCGCGTGTCGAGGGTAAAAGCGGGGTGCAGGAGTCCATGAAAACGGCGAATACATCCCTGAATTGCAGTGGGGAACCAATGACACGGGATGCAGCACCGCAGGAGAAACCGACAATCGTCAACAACGTGAGTATGGGGAACAAACTGCCGCCGCCACCGCCACCGCCGCCAAACGAGTCTTGCCGGTCACCGATAAGGAGTCCACAAACACTCTTGAAAACCCCGCTGAGTGGTAAGAAACACACTCGAACGGCAGATACTGCGAAGAAGCAGTCGGAGGCAAATTTGAAGAAGCCCTGCGTCAGAAACAAAAAGAAAGGGAAATTTGAAGAGACCAGAAGTCTCATGAAATTGGCCAAGGCGTCAGCGAAGAAGAAGACTGGAAGTGACTCTTCACGCATCAGTGGGCCGACGACTGCCAACACTACCACCACTGTTGCCTGCAGTTCCATTCTGCAGAATCTTCTTGACAAGGATGAAGAGAAGGGTGATCATTGCAGCAACAGCAGCAGCAGCGGTATAAGCTTTGAGCGCCGCGACGAGGAACTTATGGATGAGGAACTCCCTACTCTTGATGTTGCTGTTTCTTCAAAGGAAAATGATGACATCATTCTCTGCGACGATGCTCCGCCAATGGTATTTTGCACCCCGGAGCCTGTTGCCGGTACCTCAAAAAAGGAACAACAACAAATACAGCACAATCAAAGACGACACGAAAGTCTGGGCTCTGCTACCCAACCGAAGCTGACGGGGTTCTTTCAGCGTGATGTTATTGAGTATCAGAAACAGTACATACGTGAGGTGATGACCGATACCGTAATTGAAAATGGTGAGTACTTCTGCAAAGACAAGGTGTGCTTCCGCCATAAAGAAAACAAAGAAGTTATTTCAGAGGAGGAATTTTATCGGCGTAGCGCGGACATTATGCGTAGCGTCCGTTCCGATTCCCAAAATGTTAACTCCAATGATCGTGATACTACTGGCCAAGGTAGCCCTTCTACCCCCGCCGGTAGTCTGAAGCGTGTCTCCGCGGAGGCGGCAAGAGGTAGCAAGCCGCCGAAAATAGAGAAACAGTTACGTTCACAACCCAAAACGCTCTTCTCCTATTTTAAACCCACCTCTTCGTGATGTGTGCACGATTAGAGTGGCTCATAGACAATGTTTATAGAAGGCATTTTTACATTTAAAAATCATTATTTTTTTTTTTTTCATTCTAATTTTTTATTTATTTTCTTTTCACTTCCCTACATTTTACAAAAAACTCTTTATTTACGCCTTTCCCTTTTTTTTTTTTTTCTTGCTGTGTTTAAAACGCATTTATCTTGTTGATTCGCTGCATTTGTTTTTCTTGTGTTGCGAAACAGGTTTATTATTATTATTATTTTACCTTTTTTTGGCATTTTTGCGCCGTCTCTCGGTGGGATGCAGAGGGTATGTCAAGTTCGACATGAACAAGCAGTTGCTGCAGACACTACCGCTAGCAAAGGGTAAAGACATTCACAGCCGCGTGGCAAAGTTGGCTCTCTACAAGGAATGCATTGCGCTTGCAAAGAATGTCGGCGACCCGCTCGTGCGTCAGCATACTCTGGTGGAGGTGCGAGAAAAGTGGATGCAAAACCGCGGTTGTGGTGGGCATTCACTTCAGCTGCAGATAGCAAGCGCACTTGACCGTATTTCATACGGCCGCATGTGTGTATCGAAACAACGACTCCGGCTCATCCCAAACGCCAGCGAAAAGTACGACTGGGGGGTCTCTAACCCACTCGAATACCACGAACAACGACTCACAAAAAGATCGGAAAAAGAGTCCCCCGATGCGTTTCCGCATGGGGCTGGGAAGCGCGACTTTGTGCCAATGACAAATTGGGGGTACGGAAATATGGACCCGGATGCGGTGATGCGGCACAAGGAGTTAACGGACAGGCAGCACTTCATTGGGCCGCACTGGCGAGGGAAACCTAAGCCGATGGTTTTGGAAGACCTTAGCTTTGAGGAACAGTTGCATGTGCACTTTCAGAGCAAACCAAAGATGAAAAAGACCCCCAAAAAACATTACTAGTGGTCCGTTGCTGTCTCTCTTTTTCTCTCAGTATGTGCGTATGTATCTGAATGATATGGCTTGTTTATGTTTTTTTTTTCTTGTTTCATGTGTGTCACCGACTCACACGTAGACACACACCCATCAACAGCAACAAGGAAAAGAACCAAGCTGTGTGATTTTTTTCTCTTTATTAGTTTTTTGTTTGGGGTTTTCCATTCTGTCTATTTTTGGCGTTGTATGCTTGCTGTGGGGGGGGGGGGGGGGGGGTGATACCATTAGATTATCCCTTTATTATTATTATTATTATTATTATTATTTATTTTTCACTTTTTGCTTTATTTTTATTCGACGAGGTTGTGAGTGTCAGCCGATGCGTCAGACAGGTTGGGTGAAGGACCAGTTTCTTAACCGGGGTGTCAACCACTTTGTTGTCTTCTCATCCTTGGGTCGGGTGATGGAGAGCAGTGGAGACTTTGAGGATGAGGAGAAGCAGCAGCTAGCGTATACAATAGTGCAGCAGACATCTACTCTACTGAGGTCTGGAGAATCCGTCAAGCGTCTCTCCATGACTTTTGACGATGTTGTGTACATCGCCACGACAATTGCTGGAGAAGGGGAACATCTCGGTGTTGTTTTGAAAAGAAACGCTGCAGATGTTCTGGCAACGACGTAGCTAATTTTATGTATTTTCTTTTAAATACGTATTTGCGAGACGCTATGGCATATGCATTTTTGATGCGGCACGGGAGGCAATGAAAGGACACGGAAGACAACACACAGTTCATTAACATTTAAGCATCATCGCCGCCATCACCAATTTAGCTGCCGCTCCTACTAATGCTCTGTGTTGAATATTGTTATTATTTGCTTTTGTTGTGTGTGTTTGACTCTTCTGTTGTGCTTCTTCGTCTTATACATTTTTTTTTGTATTTTTTTTTTTATTTGTGGCTGTTACTTGAGATGGGAGAACAACGTTTTTGTCAGTGATAGCGCGGGAAATTGCTGAATGGAACAATACTTTCTTGTTGACACGGCGAGCGGGAAAAGAGAGCTCTTGCGTCCAGGAAAAAATGTCATTGGCCGCAGCGCCACTGTCTCTGCTGTCGATGGTGTGTCGTTTGTTAGTTTGGAGTCTCCTTCCTTTACAATCAGCCGAGTGCAGGCCATCGTTGAGGTGGCCAGTAACGGCGATGCGTGGATATCAGATTGTAACAGTACCAACGGGACATTTTTGGCTATCAGTGAGGGCAATGGCATCCGTCTTGACCCGCATTGCTTCTATCAACTGAAGCCGGGCAACCGAGTCATATTGGGTGATGTGGAGATGCGCCTCGAGACCAGCGCCTGTTCCACAAACGAGATGGGTGACCAGAAGGGCGTGATGCCATCATCAGCGCTCTCGTCGCTCAATACTTCTCACCCCACAAACTTAAGCGGCGCTCATAGTGAAATCCTCTGCGCATCTAATGACACGCGTGTTGCCACTACTGCCAATGTCACTACTACAATAGAGAAACCGAGCGATGCTGTGAAATCGGAGGCGAATGGAGCGGCCCTGCAGAAATCTCACGAATGTTTGTCTGGTAAATGTTCAAATGACCGCGTTGAATCTACCCCCCATCTTGAAGGATCGGTTGTTTTTGGAAGAAAGCGTATTCGGTCAAGCAGCGACATAACCCCACCACGTGGCGCCTCGAAAACTGTTTCCTCTTCTTTTCGTGTGCATTGGGTATGCTTTTCTGGTATGGACGGGGCTGAGAAGGCGGATGCGCAGAAATTGGCGAAAAAACTTGGGTGGCAGACGACTGACAGGATTGTTGACGCGGACATCCTTGTTGTTGGCTCTCCGGTTACGAGAACACCAAAGTTTCTCATTGCCGTTGGACGAGGCATTCCTGTGGTTACGGGAAATTTTTTAAAAGATGGAGACACGGCACAGTTGGAGAAGTACGTGCCGGCTTTGAGTCACGGCTCTCACACGTACAGCGCAGCGAGTCTGCGAAAAGTTATTTTTCGCGAATGCAAGACACCTATTCTTCAGGGGGTGTCGTTTCAATTAGGTGCTCTTCCGAGGAAGTTGCGTGCTGTGGCGCGAGAGATCATTTTGGGATGCGGCGGCGATATCGTGCGAGCCCAGTCGACAGATGCGCTTTCTCTCACCGAAGAGAGTCTTGACAGCGTCTACGATAGCGTCTTACGTGGGGAATCGTTGTGAACATTGAGAGACACACAGATGATATTCTCATCTCTTTATTTCTTCCTCCCTATCTTTCTCAGGGGATCACATTCATGTGCTCCTCATGGTAGTTATTTCACGCAAAAGTCAGTGCGTCCTTGGATTGATAACCGCCTTTTTACTTTTGGGTGAGTGAGTGTGTGTGTGTGTGTGTGTGTAAGTGTGTGACTTTTTTACCTTTTTTTTTGTCTTGTATGCAAGGGAAGTTGCAAAAGGGGGGGGAATGGGGAAACGCAGACGTACCATTTCCGATGTGACCTGCTTTATTGAATCAATTCTCTCCTGCAGGCGTATCGAGGAGCCTGACGCAAGCTTTTCCTTGTCCCGCGTTAGCGATGGAACGAATTCAGGAAGCAGCCGCAGTAGCAGTTGTAGCCGAAGCCGAAGCGAAAGTATGAATGGAACTTCCACAAACAACAGAAGTGCCGTTTCTCGAGTCCTGACGACCCCCAGTGGAAGTATGAACCCTTCAGATTCTCAAAAGAGCACTGGAAGTGCATTTGCAACAGAAATAAACTTTTTTTGCCGAGCGGAAGAAGATCTGGCAGACATGTCTCTTTACTTGGCACGAGTTGTGTCCTCCGCGCGGACTCCAGAGGCTTTTGTTGCACTGGTCGAACATTTTTCAAAGTACGGCGCTGAAACCGTGATGTTATCGCTCAAGCGTTCCGGCACGCAGCCGAAGCTGCTTGGACATCTTTGCAGTGTCCCCGATGGAGGACTCACCAAAGGGTATCAGCAGCTTTTTCTTAGATTTCTTGCTTTTCTTGTGAGGTTGTGCGATACGGAAGTCCTTTACGAAGAGGAGTTGATGAAGTTTCTACTTCGGTGCTGTCAATCACACGCAGAGGCCTCTGTTAATTCAGCTGCGTCGAGTAAGAGGCCATCACACTGGTCCCAGGGAGCTCGGCAAGCTGCAGTGGTGCCAGCACGTTCATTGAAACTATCGGAAATTAAACGGGGTGTGGATGCACTTTGCGGGGAAGAGGAGGATACTTCCCACGCTTCGTTGGCTCTTCGTGTGCTGCTCGAGATTGTTTTTAGACAAAACAGAAATACTTCACACCCATCGGATCCCAATTTTTTTATTGTTTTTGCGGAACTTGGAGGTTTTAAAATTGTTTCTGCCCTCCTTGAGACGGAGGAATGTGCCGATGCGCTTCACCTGTTGGAGGCAGTGACGCTCTGCGAGGGATTACGTGGAGTCTACGCATCGGAGCTGCGGATAACGACCGTCTTTTTGGTGCGTTTAATAACCGAGAATGAGAAGCAGATCTGTAAGGTCGCACCACGCTGTGATGAGAAAAATGCCGCGCTGCGTGTTTTAACAAATGTGACAGGTTTGGTTCCCTCTGTGTTGAGTGGATCCCCGCAACTGAGCCGCGCGCTGGCGATTGTGGCTGCGAAGACGTTGACAGACGCTGAGGCTGTTTCTGACACACTTGCCTTTACACTCTGCTTCACCACAAATATCGTGAAGTGGGAAGCCAGCCAGAAGCGTGACGAGTTCACTAGCGTTCTTGTTGAGAGCCCCTCATTTTTGACGTGCGTTGCGTGTTTGGCTTTTAGTGCATACCATGCTGAAGACATGGAGAAGAATGTGTTGGCTGGCTACTATGCTCTTCTTCTTGCCGTCCTCTCCTTGTGCGAATCGCCCAAAGCGCAGTTGCGTGTTCCTGTCATGACGGCGGTTGCCCACGCGACGAGAGGGACGGCGGCACTGAAGAAAGTAGAAGATAAGCCCATGACACTTATTGTTGCCATCCTGCAAGAATTTCTTCTGTTTCAAGGATCGGCAGGTTCACTGACAAGAGATAGTCTCGTCTCGATGACTGGTATCATCGACAGCGTTGCTGAGTGTAATGGCATAGAGGTTTCGTCAGATGAATGAGAAATGAGAAATGAGAGAAATGAGAAGATTTTTTTTTTTTTTTTGGTGTTTGATGTCGGCTTTTTCTCTTAGCCCACAGCAGCCAAAAAGTTTTTCTTTATCCAACGCATGTGTATCGTGCGGTGATTGTTGTGGGCGCCGGCTTCGTTGTTTTTGTTGCTGTGTACATGTTGATAATTTGACAGACTTTTTTTTTTTGTTATTTATATACATTTTTTTTCTTCTTCTTCTTCTTTGCCGCGAGCAGGTTTGGCTGGGGAGGACTGCAGCCCAGTCGTCTCACTGCATACACGCACGCTCACACAATTAAAAAATAACTAGTTAAGCAAACGTTACGGTTGCAACACGATGTCTGTGAAGGTCGCCGTCCGTTGCAGGCCTCTTATTCTCGATGAGCGGAAAGACAATTCGGTGGTCATTGTACGTATGAACAACAACGAGGTGACGGTTCTGGATTGCTTGGAGGGAGTCGGTGGAAAGTTTTGTTTTGACGAGGCCTTGTGGTCCGCTCAGGTAGTTGTGGAGGGGAACGCAAATCCACACGCGTCGCAAGAGATGGTATACAAGTCTGTTGCCTCTGAGCTGATGAACCATGTTGTGACGGGCTACAATGGATGCATTTTTGCATACGGTCAAACGGGTAGCGGTAAAACATACTCAATGATGGGGACCCCAACTGATTTTGGCGTTATTCCGCGCGCTGCAAAGAGTCTCTTCACAGAAGTACGTGGTCTTGCCAGCAGTGGCGTCGAGTCCTGCGTGGAGGTTTCTTTCTTTGAAATCTACAACGAGAAGGTACGTTGTCTGCTGTGCCCATCAGTGGACGGCTTTGAAAACTCCACGCTGCGGGTGCGTGAACATCCAAACTTTGGGCCTTTTATTGAAGGACTCACGAAGTTTGTTGTTTCCTCAGAGGAGGAACTCTTGCGCCTTTTAAATGATGGTAACAAGGTTCGCACTTCAGGGACAACGGCGATGAATGCTTTCAGCAGTCGTTCTCACGCTGTCTTTGTTACTACATTGACACAGAAGTGTACGAACGGCCGGCTTGTGAAAACAAAGACGTCGAAGCTCAATCTTGTTGATCTTGCGGGCAGTGAACGGGCATCGAAGTCCATGGCGACAGGGAAGCGGCTGACGGAAGGGGTAAACATCAACAAGTCTCTCATGTGCTTGGGAAATGTCATTAGTAGTCTCGCGGAGGAGCAGGATTCGGGACGGCCAAGGCATATCCCCTACCGCGACTCCGTCCTTACGTGGATTCTGAAGGAGAATTTGGGTGGGAACTCCAAGACGGTTATGCTCGCAACGATCAGTCCATCCTCTTTACAGTACGATGAAACGATGAGTACATTGCGGTACGCTGAGAGGGCGAAAAGGATTGTAAACAGGGCTGTTGTAAATGAAAGTAATAACAATGAGGTGATCGCCGCTCTTCAGAAAGAAATTGAGCAGCTCAAGAGCCAACTACGGGGTGCATCTGGCAGCGATCGGGACAGTCTCTCAGAGCAGCTTGCTGCGAGTGAGAAATTTCAAAAGGAGCTACAAATGACAATGGATGAAAAGTTGATGGAGTCAAGACGATTGATGGAGGAGCGAAAGAAGGATATGCAACGCCTAGAGGAACAGTTAGAGGCTCAACGGGGCGAGATTGCGAACTTACGGCAGGACAATGCGGAGAAGGAACGAAAGATCCATGAACTCCTGCAGAAGATTGAGGTCGTGAAGAAGAGGTTGGGAGGAGGTGGCGACACAGAGGTCGAGGAGCTTCTGGAGCAAGTGGCAGTGCTGGAATCAGAGCAAAACACTGTGTCTACCAAGCATATGAATACAGCCGCGAATGCTTCTCGAGTTGCGGACGATACGGCCCTGCGACTAGAGAATCTTGGTAATGTGCGGCCACAGCTGATAGAAGGCGGCAAAATCACTGTACGTGCCTTGGCGAGGGCATTTGAGGCTGTTGGGAGGGAGCTGCCGGCAGCGGGGAGCGCTGCAGCATTGTGTGAAATAAAGGGCAACGACTATTTTGCTCAAAATGTGAATGCCGTTGAAAAAGAATTGAGGGGAGAAAATCCTTTATCTTCTTTGACGACCGCTGATTTTGATGCTGGAATTGACGAGGATTTGCTCCTGGAGGAGCTGCTCGAATTCGATGAGGAGACGGTACAAGAGCATGGTGATCAAATGCAGGAAGAGGGTACTCTGGATAGCGCCGGTGTGGAATGTCAACGGCGACTTTGACTCTGATCTTGTTGTGGACGAAGATGAGGAAATTGAACTGGACGAAAGTGAATTGGAGTTTGATCTTGATTTGGAACTTGACGAGAATATCGACGGGAATGCAAGCGTTGCTGAAAAGGAGGGAGGGGAGGGAGTTGGAGAGGCCTTCTCAGGAGGCATCTGCCAGAGCGAGAATGATTTGAACGATAACGACATCAATGCTGTGGCCGCACGCCAGGAGTTGTCGAGAGCTGAGAACGTTGTGAATGACGATGACTACGAGAAGGCTTCTCATGTGCATGAAGAAACAACACTCAACGTGACGCAAGTACCCCGTGAAACGAGTATCAATTCCAACATCATGATAGAAGTGGCTGCCGTGGATGAAAATGGCGGGAATAATGCGACAAATCAAAGTGTGGTAAAAGATACTTCGCACACGACGACAGAAAATGCTGCCACGGCCACGGATACCGTGATGGATGCGGACAAGTTTGCCAATGCGTCTACTCAGTCGACTGGTAATGGACTTTTATCGCCCTTTTCGACCGTCACGACTTTGGTGATTCCATCTCATGCACTTCCCAACAACCGCTACCTAAATGAGGTCTTTAAAGTTATCAAAAGGAATGATGCAGCCATTCTTGGAAATAGAAAGGATCGCATATGGTTGGTGGATTTCTTTAAGCGCCGCTTTGCAAACTTGGATATGGCTGGATACATGTCGTTTCAGTATCCGGCTAGTAATTTGTTTCGGGTGGAGAAGGATCCCCTCAACTCCAAGCGCCTAACTCTTCACTTCTTTGATGCAGCGCACCCGTATGAATTAGAATTTACATCAACTGGACGACGGCAACGATTTTACGAAATTTCCATGACACTACGTCGCAATTCAGTTATGTGGTGCCCTTCGCTCTGTTTGCCCAATGAAAAAAATGTTATTCTGCATGTGCAGGGTACCACCATTAGGCGTCCAAATGCAAAAACGGTGAATGTAAGTGGTGAATCCAAGTTTACGGTTTCTCGAATGCCGTATGAGGTTTTGGATATGTGGTACGGCTGCTTTTCGATGAAGGACCGTCCTTTGCCTCGCAGTGCCGCCGTGCTTGGCAGTTTTATCCCAAGAGGCTCCCATGAGATGTATGTTATAGGGATCATGGATGTGCCAGCGTCCTTTATTGGCAATGATGTCTTCTCAAAGTATTTTCTTGAGTACTTGGGGTCTTCGCTCTACTACGTTCTTGCAAACACAGCCGTTTTTTCGAAAAGGAGACAGAATAACAATGCCTTGATCATTATTGTGCGAAATTCTTTTATTTTACGGACATCGCACATTGAGGCGATGGAAACAACACCAGTGTTCACGGATGATATTCCGAAAGATGCATTTACTTCGGTGGGATGTACGCTGCGAGTCAATGAGGCAACAATAGGCATCATTCTTGTAAATGCGAAGCCAATAGACTGTTCTCTATCAAGGCGTGCTGCAGCGTTGCGTTCTATGATGAGCACTTACCCCTTCGGCGACAACCTAGTTGACATTGGAGCCCGATTTGATTATTTTATTGTTTCGGGCGCTTTCAACTTTGGCGCTGATTTCAGGCATGATGACATGCTTCTGGCACAGATAAAAGCTAGAAATCTTATGTCGGGCCTGGTGGAGGCCACACCAAGCAGTGCGATACTAAATGCCACGGAGCCAATCCGCATTTTTTTTGCATTTCGTCCCGGCGTGTGCAATTTGGACGTTAAGCAGTACACCACATCTAGGGCTTTGGCGGCTCCAAATGCTTTTATTTCCGCAGACGTTTTTTGTCAGAGGGCTTATCTGTGTGTTTTTGGCGAGCAAGTTCCACGTGTGCAGTTGGTACTAGACAAATTGGTTTTGGCTTCACCCAATCTTCGCATTCCCTCTGTGGAAGCTCCTGAGTTACGAATCTCAGCTGACTGGATAGAAAACAGTCCATTGCTCACGGCGTTATTTAAGGGAGGTGATGCATACAAGCTATCGGGACCGGCTGTACCTGTGGTGGCACCAACTACCAGCAATACCGTTTTTCTGAGGCTACAAACGATTACCTTTTCAATGTTGGGAATTCCTGGCTCTGCGAAGAGGAGAGAGAAGACCGTCATTGCCTCGGGGAGTCTTCCTCTGAAGAACATGCTTCATTTGGGTGAGGTGGTGGAGTTTTCAACGCCCCTCTACTATCGCACCTGTTACGTGGGGAATTTGACGGGCACGCTGTTTCTGTCGGCGTATGAAAGAGACACGGCTGACCTTGCGGGACTGGAGTCCGAGCGTGATGTAATTGTAGTTTCATGCTACGAAAACCAAATACTCGAGGGAAAGAACTGGGTGTCCACGATTTTTTCCCAGCATCACGCGTACGGTTTTTCCACGGAAGACGCCACAGTTGAGTGCAGCAGGGAAGGCCATACTCTTCCAGACTCGACAAAGTGGGTGTGGCTCAATCTCTGGCGTCACGAAGTTTTTCCTCACGATGCGGAAGGATGGACTTACAGCGAGGGATTTGATCAACCGTTTTTTTCCATCAAGCCATCCAAGACGAGTATTGTCCGCCGTCGCCGTTGGACGCGTGCCATGCAGGCCAGCGATCCCGTAACATATCACAACTTCTTGATGCTCAAGCGGGAAAGGAGCTCGTTTTCATGAGAGGTGAGTGGAAGGTATCCCGCAGTAAATTCCAGCGAAGCACTAAAAACGTTCAGTAGGATACACACGTTTTTAAAAAAATATATATGCTCATTTGTTTGCATTGACGCATGCTATCATCTATCGAACTCAATTCTTGTACTTTTCTTTTTTCGTTTTCTTTTTTGAACGACGAGGATGCGAAAGAGCGACTGACTTAACTTGGTGAAGTGAAAGAGAGGACTTTTGAGAGGGGAAGAGGGAAAGTGACGTCGGAAAAAAAAAGAAAATGATTTCTTTTTCTTTTTTTTACTACCGCTTCTTCTTCATGATTTGCTTCTTTTTTTTTTTTAGAATTTTTTTTTTTTGTACGCGAATTGAAATGCGATGAGAAAGAAATTTATTACTTTTTTGTTATTATTATTATTATTATTATTATTACTACGGTTTTGCAGTTGTGTCTTGTGCATTATTTCTCGTGTGATGCCTTTTGCAATTGTTTTAGGCACCCGCTGAAGACGCATCTTATAGTGGTAAACAGAAACAGCAGCAACTTGATGCCCCCCAAGGGTCAGAGGAGTTTGAATATTGCACAGCCCCTTTCATCAAGCCGGGCTCAATCGGCCAATGCTATATTACGTTCTGCAGCGAGCGCGATGGCAACGTCGGGACCAGCGGCTTCCAAGTCTTCTCCAAGAACATCATGTTTCCCCAGGGCGTTCATGTCTACAGGGAACGCACGAAATGAAATGGAGGCTTACTATGAGCAGCTTCTGAGTCAGGACCGTGTTGATGGAGTGGATGCGTTTGGGAAGAACGGAATTCATCTTCTTTGCAAGGGCCTCGGTATTAAACCAGAATCTTTTGAGATGTATACACTTATTTGGAAAATGGGTGTCACACGGGGCTGTTGTATTCCTCGTGCAGACTGGCTTAAAACGATTTACACATACAAAATTGAACAACCAATGGATTTGAAGTTAGTTCTCGTTGAGTGGGTGAAAGAGTCCAGAGGAGATAGCTTTACAGAATTCTACAACGACCTATACGATTACATCCGTGGCGAGGAGGCTCGTCTTATGCCTTATGGAACGGCCGTGGAAGCTTGGGCGGTTCTTTTTCAAAATGAGCCCCGCATAATTCCTTGGATTAAATGGTATTCAGATATCTATAGGCGGGAAGTTACACGCGATGTGTGGAGGCAAATTGGGATTTTCTTGTCAGCTGTCCCAAATATTGAGGCATACAACGTCGAGGACAGATGGTCGTGCGCTATAGACAGCTATGTGGAATGGTGTAAAGTTTCTGGTTGATAATTGCATTTTTTCTGGTTATTGCTACGGCTACTTTTTTTTTTATTGTGATTTCACCTTGCACGTAAAGTGGTGGTTGGGTGGGCATGAAATAAGACGGTGGTGTTTCAAAGGTGTCGAGTTCCTGTTTCAGTCGAAATAAAAATGGATGTGGAATTGGGCCTTGCTTTTTTGGTTGGTGGCCTGTTGCAACGAAGTGACAGTGAGGGAGGAAAAACGGAGAGAGAAAATTGTGTACGTATTTACTCTGTTTTTTGGGGAGCGAAGGGGGGGAGGATGTGGGCATCACCAAGCATCGGTTTACTAATACCACTATTGCTAATGCTGTTGCCTTTTAAATTCTTGATATTTTTTTTCCTTCTTTTTGGCTTTGAGAGCTTTAAAAAAAGGAAAAATTTTTTTTTTGTACGCTAAGTTCTATTTCTTTTTTTTTTTTTTACGTAACGTTTTTTCGGCGTTCCCGGCTATGACGCGAGGTGGCGGCGGTGGGTTTGGCAGAGGAGGTGGCGGTGGACGCGGCTTCGGTGGCCCACGAGGCGGAAGAGGTGGCGGTGGACGCGGTGGACGGGAGGCGGAACCCGATCCACCGGAAAGCCTGGAACTCATTGGCACCTTCATGAATGCTGCGGAGGGGTATTTGGTGTATAAAGTCACGATTCCCGAAGTGGTGCCTCGTTTTAATGCTTTTGTTTACACAGAAAATAGGGCTAAAATTGGCAAGATTGACGAGGTGATGGGGAATACGACGGATGTTATGTTTTCTGTGATGCCCATGCCTGGTGTACAGGCGGGGTCCATTAGTGAAGGGGATAACATCTTTGTTTCCCCGACACAGTTGACGCCAGTGCGCGTGTTTACTGACCCACCAAAGCCGCGGGGACGCGGAGGCCGTGGAGGCGGCGGTCGTGGCGGCCGATCCGCAAATGGTGGAGGCAGCAGTCGTGGCAACTTTGGAGGAGGTGGTCGTGGCAACTTTGGTGGAGGCAGCAGTCGTGGCAACTTTGGCGGAGGTGGTCGTGGCAACTTTGGTGGAGGCAGCAGTCGTGGCAGCTTTGGCGGAGGTGGTCGTGGCAACTTTGGCGGAGGTGGTCGTGGCAACTTTGGCGGAGGTGGTCGCGGTAACTATGGAGGAGGTGGTCGCGGTAACTATGGAGGAGGCGGTCGCGGCAATGGCCGTGGTTACTAACGTTAATGCTCATAATAAAAGAAAATTTATTTAAAGTAAACACTTAGAGTGTGCATAGTGGCGGTACTTCCGTGTGAACGAAGAGAAAGAAAGGGAACGATACATGTGTTGTTTTGGGATTTGGGCGCGTACGCGTTGAATGTTCTTGCTACTCCCGAGTCTCTTGCCCCACATCTCTTTTTTATTTTTATTTCTGCTCATTTTTCCACATTTTATTTCATCCTTTTTATTTATTTTTTATTTTCCGTTTTGTTTTGTGGTTTGAAAATGTAGAAAATGGATGAATCAACGACGCGTGAGCCTGCTGACCGAACTCTTCTTTTTGGTCGATTCAATGTTGCTCGAGACTATCATATGGGTGTTTTTATTATCTGCATCATTCCCGTGGGCACTTTTGTATGTCTTCGAGTTTTAGCCTTTAGTCCAGTGGTGTTAGAGTTGTACTCTTACAACACGATGCTGGTTCTCACCTGTTTTATCATTCTGCTCTGCGTTTTGAGTGAATGGACGGTTGTTAGCTTGTTTCTTTGTGACCCTGGATTTACAGATGCCGCTGAAGATGAAGGTGCGTATCGGTGCCCACTTTGTCGAATTTACGTTAAGGAGTACGACCACCATTGCGGTATTCTGGGGGTATGTATTGGAGAACGAAATATGGGTTTTTTTCTTTCTTTTTTGACATTTGTAAGTTTTCTTATGTGGCTGTTCGTTTGGTTTGCTGGTGTATCGCTCATGTCATGGTTCAGAAAGGCAGTGGCCCATCGTTCGTTGTATGAAGGATTGCTGCTGCTACTAAAGGAGTGGTGGTTTTCATCGAAAATAAAACCGGTGACATTTGTCCTTTTTATTTTATTGTGTTACGGGGCCCTTTTTACTACCATGCTGGGTGTCTTTTACTGGTGCATGCTTTGCCGGGGGATGTTGTCTTTGGAACGGAGGCGGAAGCCATCGTTACGAATGAACTCGAGGGCTGTTTTTTGTCACATGTGGAGGCCGAGTTTGTCGAGGACAAAACTGTTGCATCGAAACGCTGAGAATGACGTGTAGGGAAAACCGGTCAAAAATATGGGCGTTGCTGCCGGATAATGCGTCATTAGAGGTTTTCTCCTGTCATGGGGGTGTTGTTCTTGTCGTGCATGTATTCTCCGTCTATTCTTAGGGTTAGGGAGAGGAAGAGAAGGTATTGTCCATCAAATAATATCGGACCCACTGCGTCACCATACATGGCGGTTGCCTGTTTTTTAACTTGTTGTGGATCTTTCAGGAGTCTCCCTTGTTTTTCATTTGCTTGCAACATGGACCGAATCATTTTATACTTTTTTGTTGGTTTGTGTTTGTGTGTGTTTCAACTTCTATACACAAATGCACACACAAATACACTGCGGGGTTTTTAGGGGAGGGCGTTGAAATGGTCTCGGAGAGTGCGCGGAGGGGGTTAAGAAAAGGGGGGAGCGAGCAAAAAAGGAGATTTATGAGCGACGCTTGGAGTTGCCCATTTTTTTCTCCACTTTTTTTTTTTTGTGTGTACTTCTCCGTCTCACGCGGCAGTTGCCAGAAAGGGGAGGGAAATGACCTTCAGCGCTTGATGTTTTTTTTTTGTTTTTTTGTTTTTTTGAGTTCACGCGTGAATCAATAAATGGCTTGTATCCCTGCAGCAGTTTTGGCGCCATTTTTTGCTTTTGCCGGACGGCCCCGTTACTTTAGTCTTTTTTTTTTTTTTTTTTCATTTGTGTGTTTTATGGGGCGCAGGTGGTGGTGTTGATGGAGGAGCGAGATTCCACTTCGCCGCAGTACGTGGGTGGTGAGAATCTTGCACTGACGCCTTTCAGGCTTGCGGAGAAGCGCTACAAGTTGTACCGCTTTGACCGACGTGCCGCGCGTCGCCAGCAACTGCCTGAAACCGACTTCAGTGATGTGGTAGACTTTCGGTGTCCTGACGCCAACACAGATCAGAACCGTTCGCTGATCCGCGGAGTCAGCACTTTGTACGATTCGCAAGTGCGGTGCTTTGAGTTTGTCGCCGTGCCTGGGTTGCTGTTCTTTCCCGACGCCATTTCTGAAGAGGAGCAACAAGCGTTTTGCCGGGATGCGATACTAAGGTACGGGGATTCCAGTCAACATCCCAACCATCTGTCAACACACGCCAGCAAGCCAAAGTGCACTAAACGGTACGAGGCGCCGATGCGATGGGCGACTCTTGGCTTCAGCTACGACTGGACTTCCAAGACGTACACAAGAGAAAATTATTCAGCCTTTCCGCCAGCACTGAAAAGGCGCATAGAAGAAATATTGCATCTTTGTAGCTCCACACCGGATCTTAAGGATGTCAACCCGTCTATCTACGAGCCTCAGACTGCAATCGTAAATTACTTTTCAGTGGGGTCTATGATGATGGCTCACCAGGACGTGAGTGAAGAGTCGATGCAGCATCCTTTAATCAGTATTTCGCTTGGATGCTCATGTGTGTTCCTTATGGGAACCTCCTCGCGTGACGATGCACCCTATGCGTTCTGGTTGCGAAGTGGGGATGTGGCGGTATTCTCTGGACCCTCACGTGTGGCCTTCCATTCTATTCCACGCATCATGGATGATTGTCCGCCGCACCTCTGCACGATCTCTGGCGAGAATAATGAAGATGAGGTCTACTGGCGGACGCAGATGCGTCACATGCGCATTAACATAAACGTAAGGCAGGTGTATTCGGAGAGTTGCGCGTTTCTTTTTGAATCATGAACGCAAAAAGAACAAACGGCATAAATGCACAAGAGGAAGGACAATAACAACAGTGATATTTTATTTTATTTTTTGACGAAACACACGAAATTATTATTATTTATGCATTCTTGAGCGTTTTTTACTTATTCTTTTTGTTTTTCCTTCGAAAATTTTTTTGATTTTTTGTTTATCTTTTTTTTCTTGCTTTATCTTATTTTGTTGGCCGCAGGTGCTGAATTTATATTTTTAGACATGCTTACCAAATTTGACGTTCGATCCTGTCGGGTGAAGGGGATCAGCTTCCACAAGTCGCGGCCATGGGTCCTCTGCGGCCTTCATAACGGAACGGTGCAGATTTGGGACTACCGCACGAACACATCGATTGACACGTACACGGAACATAGTGGCTCCGTCCGTGGCGTCGATTTCCACATTTCTCAGCCTTTGTTCGTTTCTGGAGCCGATGATTATCTGATAAAGGTGTGGAATTACAAGCTGCGCCGCTGTCTCTTTACATTAAGGGGGCACATGGACTACATCCGCGTGACATTTTTTCATCACGAACAGCCCTGGATACTCTCATGCTCTGATGACTTTACCGTCCGGATTTGGAATTGGCAGAGCCGCAGCAGTGTCGCGTGTCTTCCTGGACACAACCACTACGTTATGTGCGCCCAATTTCACCCACGGGAAGATTTGGTGGTATCAGCGAGTCTGGATAGGACTATCCGCGTCTGGGACATATCGTCGCTTCGACTTCGCAAGCAGGAGGTTGGTATTGCCCAAGACCTGCTTGGCACGACTGACGTGACTCTCAAGTATTTGCTGGAGGGGCATGAGAAGGGAGTTAATTGGGTCTGTTTCCATCCCACCAAGCCGTATATCGCTTCAGCAGCGGATGATCGAACTGTGCGTGTTTGGCGCATGATGGAGTCTTCTTGTCACGAGGAGTTGCAGCTGCGAGGTCACACGAATAATGTATGCTGCGTGACTTACATGAAGGATTTTCTCATTTCGGATTCTGAAGATCGTACCATTCGTGTTTGGGACGTGAAGTCGCGCAACCCAATCATGGTGTTCGC